GGAAATTAAATTCGGTTGATACATAGTGCGTATCGGACCATTTTGAGTTGTATCGGCCGATACATACCCGAAACGGTCCGWTATGAGGTCGATACGTATGAAAAAATATGAAACCATCTAATTATACATGTTCCGTGTATCGGAACTCTTCCAAAACGATACGTATCGGTCGATACGTTGCGAAATTTAAAACCTTGCTGTTGCGCCAAGGCCCACCCTCATATATATATTTCTGTGTGTGTGTGTGTGTGGTTGCGGTATTACAATAGACATTTTTATACCAAACTGTTAATTTTTTTTGTGGGTTATAATATTTTCATAATTCATATACTAGTTTCTTATTATTTTCTTATTTGTTTGTATTCGATTTACACACAACTTGAGTTCACCATTTAATAAAATTTGAACAGGCATGGACTGATGGTCTGGGCAAAATGCTGTGTAAATTCTTTTAGTCAGGTACCCCTTGCACCCCAAGTCTTGAACCCTTTAAGACTTCAAAACCTGAACTGATAAACAGGAAAAAACTTGTAAAACTATCCTTTCTAGTTTTTTTCACACATCTATCTCAGCATACACAGCTCATGGACTAGTGGCAAGCAAATGTGAGAGCAAAAAAATGATGATCGCTGGTTGATAAGAAACCTAGGGAATTATCCTCAGATTTATTTTTCTATTTTAAAAAATCCTTCTCCTAGGCGGGCCCCTATGTGACCAAGTGCTCTCCTGTTGTCTAGCTTCACCTCAGTGCCTTGACAACTATGAAGACTATATTCCTAGCAGTTTGCAGTTTTACCTTTTTAACCGTAACACTTTCCAATTAATCATTCCACTATCATTGTATTTAAGGGTGCAATTGAATCAAGCTTTAACAGTTCAGGCTCCTGATCAACTGGGCTTGATTTGAGTTTAATGCTAATTGGGTTCAAATCTCAGGGCAAGTTCGATTAGTTATTCGAACAATTTTGACCAACAACATTTTCAACTTGAAAGATCACACTGAAGTTCAGATTGGCTCAACTCAATTTGATTGCACCCCTAGTTGTATTTTTATGTGCTCTATAAGGCGGTGGAAAAATTGAACCAACTCCAAAGAAATTTAAATTTGTTGAAGTGGTATGAAAAACCACAACTTGATAAATTGGAAGCATCAAACAACATGGTTAATTAAAATTGAGAATAATTAAGGAGAGAAATAGTGTCTTTGTTACATAACCAAGTGTTGTATTTTAGTCATATTGGTATAAGTGCCAATGCCATTTTTATTGCAGTGGTCTGACTAGAAGTGGCATAGCTCCTTGTATTTTGAATGTAGGTCATACTGACATAGCTTCATTTTTCACCAGGTGAAGGTGCCTTTGTGCAAGCAATGTTCTAAATATCGATACAGACTGATACGCCGAGTGGGGCATATCGGTCTGTAAGGCCTGTCTACCCCCTGAAATAGGTCAACCCCAAAACACTTTGTATTCCGTATATCGGTGGGTCACCAATACAATACGTATCGGCTGATACGTTGTGAAATTTTGATCCTTGTGTGAAAGGAAGACAAATTCTTTGTAATTGCTAGTGAATGCTTGGACTCAATGGTTCGGACATGTAATGTCTGGGGTATTGGGAGGGGTGGATGGGATATTGACATAACCTTTGGCCCAGTTTGCACAAAGTGGCTGCTTGCAGACTTGAACCCATGTTACCACACTTGCCAGCCAAAATTTTACAATTACATCAAACAATGGATTTTTATGATAGTTGGTTATTTTTGCACCCAAAGCTGTTGAAAATAGCTTCACAATGGGGATTAACTTCCAAACATGCCATTACTCTTACGTGTGGATGATGACTGATAATGCCTGAGAGAAGCACTGGAATGTAACTCTTCTTGTATGCTCACATTTGCTTGCTATTTGGAGTTTATTACATTTAAGTGGAATTTTTATTGGAGTTTACTTCATCTCTTCAAGAGCAACAGGGGTTTCCTTAGTTCATAATCATGCCACTAGTCCATGAGCTGTGTATGCTGAGATGGATGAGTGAAAAATCTAGAAAGGATAGGATCAGAAATGAAGTCATTGGAAGGGACCTCGGAGTAGCTCCAATAGGTGATAAAATGAGAGAAAGTAGATTAAAATGGTTAGGTAGGGGTGATCATGGGCCGGGCCTGGGCCGGGTGTAGCACCAATGATAAGGGCTTTAACCTTGGCCTGAGCCTGGCTCACACCCTAGGCCTAGATTGCAAGCCCAAGCCCTACCCTACACAGGCCCAGGCTGGGCTTACAGGCTTTCCAGGCCTAATGAGAAATGAGTTTGGGCTTATGACATTCAATAATAAAAATTTAATGTATTTAAAAATTTTTAATTAAATAACATGTAATACATGCAAAAAGTATGGCACAAGCCCAAGTTAAATAGGGCTTAGCCAAGCTTTGGGCCTACAAACAAGAAAAAGRCATGGGCTTCATTTAATTCCTAGAGTCGGTTTGGCTTGTCCTACTTATCCTTTTATAGATGAAGTCAAGGTCTTCATTCCCATTATTGAGCAATGTGGGACTTGGAGCAACACTAATTAGTGAATGCTACCATTGAATGTTTTTCCAAGTCCCACATTGCTTAGGCAATGAGAATGAAGGCCTTGCCTAAGAGGGCAATCCACATATTTAAGTTGGTTCAAGTGTTAACAACGTGTTGACATGTGTCAATTTATTAGTATTAATATTTATTTATTATTTATATTTATATGTTAAAACTTAATTTTATATTTTATATAAAATAATAAACATTTAATATAAAATAAAATATAATATATTATATTGCAGGTCAAGCTTGGGCCGGGTCGGGTTTCCGTGCTGGGCCAAGAATGATAACCCCTATGGTTTGGTCACATGCATAGAAGACCAACATCACCCATAAGAAGTGAGTTATTGCAAGCTGAAGGGGCTAGAAGGGCTAGGCGTAGACCAAAAAGGACATGGGTGGAAGTAGTAAGAAATGATTTAAGTGCCAATAATTTAACGATGATATGGAATTAAACAGAACGGAATGGCGAAATAGGATACATGTACCCCATATAGTTGAGATAAGGCTTGGTTAGCGATCATAATGGTGCTAATGACACTATTTCATGAGTGTTCTGTCTCTCACTTTTTCACACTCACTTGGATGGTAGAGTGAATTGAAAAGTTGGAATCAGATTTATTCTGTGTGTGATCTCACAAGGAGACATCATCTTTGGTGCAGAGTTATTGTTTGGTGCATAGTGTTAGCATTGGTGTCAGTATGGCTTAAATAAGATGTTTTAATTTTTTTTCCTGTCAAAATATGAACCAATTTAAGTGCATTAATCTGATTATCTGATGTCTCCTTCTTAATAAAACTCATGTGGAGCACAGAAAAGGTTAACAAGTTGAATCTTTGGAAAGTGAAATTTGACTTTTTAGTGGAATGGTCCTTCTAGTACGCCTTTATTTCTTTGAGAGGAAGAAAACAAAATCTTAAGTTGAAGGCAAGCTTTTTGGCTGTAGTACAAGTAATTGAAGGGAGACATGTAACCATCCCAATATTTCTCTTTTCAAATTCTCTAAACCCATGTTGCTCCATTTTATCCGGGATGTTTTGCTCTTCTAGGCAATGTTATTGGAGACCTTAAGCATAATCGGTCTAGCTGTAGTGAAAGCACTTGTCAGAACACTTCTAGCACTTATTGTAACAAGCTGGTGATGCTTCAAGCTGAATTTAGGGAAGAAAAAACTGTTTCAGCAGTTGGATATCCAATAAGGTGTTGAAATTTCACTTCCAGCTTTTGTTTTAATTTCCTTTTTTCTTTTTACTATTATGTAGTTTAATATTGGTATGACTGTATCCCTCTGCTGTGATTTCTCCGGTTGACTTTTGCAACATTTGCCACTTAAGTATTTGGTGCTCATGTTGCATGCCAAGGTAATACTCCATGTTATTTCCAAATCTCTCAGAGCACATTCAAAACTGACAAGCAATGGCATTTGCAAAGAGGCATGGGATGCCTTGTAGAATGGCCATTTTCTATTTCTTGGTACCTTTGGAAAGCTAGAAAGAGTCAAGGTTTTGAAAAGATACTTCATTTGGCTGGCTCACATAAAAGCTGTATTTTCTCAAATGGACCTTTATACAGGGAATTTAGGTGGGTTAGTTTCAGTTTAGCCATAGCGTGGTGTGATGGTAATATCTCGGTTCTCGGGATGATAATCTTGAGAGCATTTGTTCAAGTCTGAGAGCAGCCATTTTGTGCAAAAATGCCAAAGGCTAGGTCCATATCCATTACTGCTATGTTATACAAAACATGGCAGTAACTAGTTATGTCATTTTTCTGTCATTTCTTTTAAAATTTGATTGTTGTGGTTGCAATCAAATTGCTTATCCCACTTGGCAAATTTTAGAAATGATATTATAACTGATCAACATGGTGCTCACAAACCTATATCCATTTTGATGGGCAGCAATTGCAAGCTAACATTTATGGTTGGTATGCAGTCATGATCTGCATGTCCTATTGGGAGTTGACAATTTCTGTTTTTTATTTTTATTTTTGATATATAAAAAGAAAATAAGTGGGTACTGTTACAAAGTTTGAGCTTGCATGCTCATTTCTTCCACCTATACCTGCCTGTAACAAGGTAAACAACTGATTCTTATCTGTCCCATGTTTCAATATATGGGGTTCAGAATCCTTGCAACTCTGAGGACAGCCTATTATTTGATAATCTGGATCTATGACCTGATCTGTGGTCTTTGAAAAATGTGTGAAGTTGGCAGCCTGGTTTTTCTGGCTGTCAATCTCATGGGTCTTAAACGTGTTCAGGTTTTTCTGGTTGATCCTCAGATTTAATTTTTTCTATTTAAATTCATCTTAGCCACCAATTGTGAACTGACACAAGAGTATATCATTTTCTCTTCTATTTGACTGTTTCCAAATATAAAAGAAAAAGAAAATTACTGTAAGCTGAAATTGCCTCTGATATCTGCAGGTAGTGAAGATTCGATTGCAGCAACAGAAAGGACTAAGTCCTGAGCTTTTAAGATACAAGGGTCCTGTACATTGTGCTCGCATGATAGTCCGTGAGGAAGGACTTCTTGGGCTCTGGGCAGGGGCAGCACCAACTGTTATGCGCAATGGGACAAACCAGGCTGCCATGTTCACAGCCAAGAATGCATTTGATGTTATCCTGTGGAAGAAACATGAAGAAGATGGTAAGGTCCTTCAACCATGGCAGTCTATGATATCAGGTTTCCTGGCAGGGATTGCAGGTCCTGTATGCACAGGCCCCTTTGATGTTGTGAAGACAAGGTTGATGGCTCAGAGCCGATCTGGGGGTGATCTGAAGTACAAGGGCATGTTTCATGCCATCAGAACCATATTTGCGGAGGAGGGATTGCATGCTTTGTGGAAAGGTCTGCTGCCTAGGCTCATGAGGATCCCCCCTGGCCAGGCCATCATGTGGGCTGTGGCTGACCAAGTGACCGGCCTGTACGAGAGGAGGCATATACATAATGCAACGTTGTAGGTACGTCACTATATTTCTTTGCTTGCCTCTAGTCTTAATTGAATTGCAAGCCTAAAGCCATGTATCCATTGCTTAGTTCCTCTTCAGTATCCGTTCGTTTCCTTTTAAATCGTTTTGGATCTTTTGATTCTTGATTTTAATTTTTGAAATTCTCAATGAAGTTTTCTAGTGCAAATGCGTTTCTCAATAAGTTTTAACCGTATAGTTATGATGTAGAGTTGGTACCGTGAAGCTTCCAACGCAAAGTGAGGAACTAACCAATATCCTACACTTAGGCGGAAGAAAGAAATCATTGATTTGACCCCCTCTGTATTATCATAGGTTCTATAAAAATTTATGAAGGGAAGGAATCAGTAAAAACCCTTTACTTTTTCCTAGGTTAAAAATGCAACTTAGACAAAAGATTTGGAATATTGTCATACTTTATATACGCCTCCCAAATGTTGGTAGCTAGGGGTGTTCATTCTTTGGTTCAAACCGCAACTGAACCAAATCAAATCAAATTTGTGGTTTGGTTCGGTTTGTACCTGAAAACAGTTTGGTTCGGTTTCATATTTTGTTAAATTGTGATTTGTTGTTTTGGTTTGCTTTTTTGGATTTTATAAACCATATGTATAAATATTATGTATATAACATAATATATCTAAATCAAATGTATAAAATTATAAATATATAATAAACTCTTATATTTTATAATAAAATTTTTAATTTTAATATTTAGGGGTGCTATTTGCCTGTTTGGGTTTTCTAATTGGGTTAAGCGCAATAAAATAAAAGAATGGTCTAAAGTTCTCCAAACTGTTTTAGAAACCACATCAAATTGTAATAAAACAATTTGATCTGGTTTGATTTTCATGTCAACACGGTTTTGTTTGGGTTAGAAATTTCTCAAATCATAATTTATTGGTTTGGTCTGATATATTTAAACCACACTGAACCAGAACACCCCTATTTGTAGGTGGGGGATCTACCTAGAGTTGTAAAGTGGGTTGGATTGCCTATGAGACAGGCTATGCTGTCCAGACACTGTAGCAAGTGATCATGCCAGGCCCCACTCGAACCCCTATCATGCTGGGCTGAGAATTTTGTGATGCACGGGTTGGCACCGTATGATGCACAGGCTTTGTTAAACAAAACCTAAATTAAATGAAGTTTATGACATTTTAAATTGAACAAAACCAAACTAATCCCAACCCATCACCTATTACTCACCCAGTGACATCTTAAAAGTTCTAATTGTGCCATGCATCGGAATTATGGCTGATGAGGGTGGATTTGGCCCTCGTATGACATTGTGACACATGGTACCTCAGAATATCTAGGTGATACCCGGAACCATTTTGCCAACAACTTACCTTAACCAAGTTGATGGTGTCTCACCACAGGCGTGACCTGGCCCTGGCGGGACCTGGCAGCCTAGCACAAGCATGAGCTGGCAACCTAGCCCTGGCGCGAGCTGGCAGCCTGGCATAGGCACGAGCTGGCAGCCTAGCCCAGGCGTGACCTGGCGGCCTGGCCCAGGCACCGACCTGGCGACCTGCGAGACGTGCTCACTGACAAATTCAGCATGCATATCCTAACACTCCCACGATTTTTGGAAGTTGGCCCACGTGTCGAACAATCCAGAGGGTGGTCAACGTGCATGGCAGTTACCTCCAGGAATCTCGAACCACTTAGACGACCTCGCAGAAATCTCAGATATGGTGCGTGAAGCCCACGCCAAACAAAATCTTAGATTTTGTGATTTTTAACTCGCAGTCTACTATGAGAGTACTGACTTAAGAATCCCATGCCAAACAATGCCTATATAAAGGCACCAACACCACGCCAAACAAAATCTCAGATTTTGTGATTTTTAGCTCGTAGTCAACTGAGAGTACTGACTTAAGCATCGGAGCGACCTCGCTGGGTTAGCCACCTCGGGTCCTCTGACATTTGGTTCCTTGCAGGTTTCTAAAGAGCAACGAAGCTCATCAATTCAGCTCTCCACCAGGCAATTTGACACCTAGGCAGCTTGGCACCTCACAGGCAACTCGGTACCTTCTCAGCCCGGCACCTCACAGGCAGTTTGGCACCTGCTCAACCCGGCACCTCACAGGCAGCTCGCCACTTGCTCAACTCAGCACCTCACAGGCAGCTCGCCACTTGGTCAGCTCGGCACCACATAGGCAATTCGATACTGTAGTCAGCTCACCACCTAGCCTGCCCAGCTTGACTCAACTCGGTAGCCAAAGTTCTCCACTTCTGCCTGAGTCATCGGCCACTTGGAAGCAAACCAAATGACGAGGTACTTAGCCCAAAAAGTTGGCCATCACCCAAAAATCGATTCATCAATTGGCGTCGTYTGTGGGAAACGCTACAAAAAGGTAAGTTCTCATCCTCTGAAACRCTAAGTCCTCTTCTTCCAGAAAGCTAAGTTCTACTAAAAGCTCTCACTTTTTAGTTTCCATTTTTTATGAACTCAAAGAATATGCAGGAAGTTGATGGCCAACAGACTAAGCAGTTCTACCAATTTTATTTCAACTCAGATAAAGCCTCATCAGTCCTCTTTGCGAGGTACCCTATACAAAGATGAGCTCTTCGTGGCTTCCGTGGGAGTTGGCGGCCAACAAACTGCGTGGACGCCCCTGCCGGTCGAGCCTTCCAAGGCTCTCGTGCGAACTGGTGACCTAAAGTCAGTAGTGTTGCCCCCGTAGGTCGACCTCCTAGTAGCTTCTTGTAGGAGTGGGTAATCGACGTCACTAACGAGGCTGATGCAGCACAGCCGTAGCTCTAAGRCGCCGACCTGGCGTCCTGGCCCAGTGCGACCTGGCGGCCTGGCAAAAGCGCGACTTGGCGACCTGTTCCAGGCGCGAACGGGCGAGCTGAAAAAAGACCTCGGCACCACATAAGTCCCAGTCGCCTCCTCGGCATGGGCATACAAGACCCAGTCGCCTCTTCGGTATGGAAAAATCAAAGATCAAGGAGAGTGGACTACGAGTCGCTCCCAGAGCCTAAGGGCCAAAATATCGAACTAGCGAAGACCTCCTCACCATATAAGACCAGTCGCCTCTTCGGCATGGGCAAAATCAAGGAGCGGACTACGAGTCTCTCGCAGAGCCTAAGGAATTGAATTGACGCTTACGAGCTCATTGAATTATTCATTCTGGGCCAAAAGGAGAAATCTACTCCCTTCGCCGAGTTACTTTCAGCTCGGGAGTGGGGGGGCAAATGATGAGGGTGGATTTGGCCCTCCTATGACATTGTGACACATGGCACCTCAGAACAAATAGGTGACACCCGGAACCACTTTGGCAACAACTTGCCTTAGACAAGTTGATGGTGTCCCACCACAGGCGCGGCTCGGCACAGGCACTGCCTGGCACAGGAGCGGCCTGGCACTGGCGCGACCAGGCGACCTGCGAGACGTGCTCACTGACAAATTCGGCATGCATATCCTAACACTCCCACGATTTTTGGAAGTTGGCCCATGTGCCGAACGATCCGAAGAGTGGTCAACGTGCATGGCGGTTACCTCCAGGAATCTTGAACCACTTAGACAACCTCGTAGAAATCTCGGATATGGTGCATGAAGCCCACACCAAACATTGCCTATATAAAGGCACCAACCCCAATGGTAGGCAGGGAAGCAAGCAAGCAAGTTATAGCTCTCAGACTTTGTGATTTTTAGCTCGCAGTCTACTATGAGAGTACTGACTTAAGCATCAGAGCGACCTCGTCGAGTTAGCCACCTCAGGTCCTCTGACATTTGGTTCCTTGCAGGTCTCTAAAGAGCAACGAAACTCGTCAATTCAGCTCGCCACCAAGCTGCTCGACACCTGCTCAGCCCGACACCTCATAGGCAACTCGACACTTGGGCAGCCCAGCACCTCACAAGCAGCTCGCCACTTGCTCAGCCCGGCACCTCACAGGTAGCTCGCCACCTAGCCTGCCCAGCTCGACTCAGCTCGACAGCTAAAGTTCTCCACTTTTGTCTGAGTCATCGGCCACTTGGAAGCAGACCAAATGATGACGTACTTAGCCCAAAAAGTTGGCCATCACCGAAAAATCGATTCATCAAAGGCCAAAGAACAAAAATGGTTTCTATTGTGTCAGTTAATCAATCTACATGTCCCAATGCTCTTGTTATGGACACGACACCCGGCAACACGTTGCGTCGCAATCACAGGCAGTGGCGCGCCTAGTGGCACGCACTGCCCGGTAGCGCGCCTAGTGGCACGCACTGCCCGGTAGCGCGCCGCGGTACAAGCTGCCTGGCAGCGCGCCGCGGTACAGTCTGCCAGCCGCACGCCTAGCGGCACGCACCGCCCGATAGCAACACGCACCGCAACTCGCCAGCAGCATGCGCCACACGGCAGCGGCACACACCACATGGCAGCAGCATGTGCCTCACAGCAGCAGCAAGGAGAGACGCTCGCGCCAGCGGTAGAGCGGGGCCCACACGACAGCTCATCCGGGTGGACCCACTCTTATCCGGCCACAGCAGCCCTGCTCGCCAATGCTAGTTGTACCTTTCCCTTATCCCCTATTTTTGTGTTTCCCTTAGAAGTAGGAGTTTGAGTTTCGATAGAAGTTTAAGTTGCGATAAGAGAGGGACTACCTTAGCCGAATACAAGAAGGAAACCCTCTTGTAATCTCCTATTTAAGGAGCTGATTTTATTCAATAAAGGGATCGAATTTTCAGTCAAGAAAAAGAGCAAGGAGAGTTAGGTGATCTCTTG